CAGGTGGTGATGGAGGAAGGTGGCTACGAGGCCATCTGTGAGGACTGGGGATGACCGTGGCTGGCTCTGGGTGCCCCTGGGTGCCCCTGGCTGGCTCTGGGTGCCCGTGGGTGGCCATGGGTGTTTCTGGCTGTCCCTGGGGTGTCCCTGAGCCCTCAGTGTCCCCTCGCAGGTGGTGATGGAGGAAGGTGGCCACGAGGCCATCTGTGAGGACTGGGGGTTGCCCAGGCTGGCTCTGGGTGCCCGTGGGTGACCATGGGTGCCCGTGGGTGCCCCTGGGTGTCCCTGGGGTGTCCCTCACCCCTCGCTGTCCCCTCCCAGGTGGTGATGGAGGAGGGTGGCTACGAGGCCATCTGCAAGGATCGCCGCTGGGCGCGGGTTGCCCAGGCTGGCTCTGGGTGCCCGTGGCTGTCCCTGGCTGTCCCTGGCTGTCCCTGGGGTGTCCCTGATCCCTCCCTGTCCCCTCCCAGGTGGTGATGGAGGAGGGTGGCTACGAGGCCATCTGTGAGGACTGAGAGTGGCCCTGGGTGTCCCTGGGTGCCTGTGGGTGTCCCTGGGGTGCCCCAGGCTGGCTCTGGGTGCCCGTGGGTGTCCCTGGGGTGTCCCTGAGCCCTCGCTGTCCCCTCGCAGGTGGTGATGGAGGAGGGTGGCTACGAGGCCATCTGCAAGGATCGCCGCTGGGCGCGGGTTGCCCAGCGCCTGTCGTACCCGTCGGGGAAGAACATCGGCTCCCTGCTGCGGGCTCACTACGAGCGCATCATTTACCCCTACGAGATGTACCAGTCCGGGGCCAACCTCGTGGTGAGGGTCTGGGGGCTCCGTGGGGGATTTTTGGGGGTCTCTCCCCCCCCCCCGTGGGGGGTCACGCTGAGCGTCCCCCTGCCCCCCTGTGTGCAGCAGTGCCACACGAGGCCCTTTGAGAGCGAGGAGAAGGATCGCGAGTACAAACCCCACAGCATCCCCCTGCGGCAGTCGGTGCAGCCCTCCAAGTTCAACAGCTACGGCCGGCGGGCCAAGCGCCTGCAGCAGGAGGTGGGTACCCCCAAAGAGCACCCTGGGGCCCCCAGACCC